GCAGGTAACGGGTTTTGTGCAGCACTGCGTCCCCAGCGCACGTGCCAGCCTGGAAAGCTCCTCAAGCATTGCACAGGGAGTCGCACCGGGCCTGCCCCCGACCAGCTGCACTGGCCATGTCCTCTTGTCCATCCATCCTTGCAGTGTCCCCTAAGCCAGTATCACTGTCCCCTTCTGCAGCTCACAGCCTGCAGGTGTGATGATGGCTACTCAGGTCCCTTCTGCCAGGAGCTGTGGCCCCTGCCCTGCCGGCCTGACCGGCGACGGGACGCACTGCGCAGGTGAGGGGCGCAGAGCCCAGCTCACCGTGGCAGCCAGCAGCGGGTGAGCCCGGCTTTTGCTTGATGCCACACCGCCTTGCCTTGGCAGATATTGATGAGTGCACGTGGGGGACAGCATGCCCGGGGAACACCACCTGCACCAACACCGTGGGCAGCTACGTGTGCACCTGCGCTCCCGGTGAGGCAGGTGAGTACCCCCACGCCAGAGCAGCCTTTCTGTCCTGCTGCTGGACATGCTGCCCACTGCACTGAAGCGGCAGGAAGAAAATTTCTTCCCCAAAAGATTGCCAGGGCCTCCAATTCCCAGTGCCGCGGTAGGGGTTGGGGCAGAGCTTCCTGCCCGGCTGGCTGGAGATGCAAACACTTGTCTGTTGGGCAGAAAAACTTTTTTTCAGTGTAATTTTTCTCCATGAGGAAAATCTCACCTGATCAAAGCTAACACGCCTGTGCGGTGAAGAGGTTTAGGAGCTTCAAATCAAATCCTGATTTCAGAATGGTTTTGGTGGGAGGGAGGAAGGTTTTCATTCTGGTCATAATGTATCAGGCTGGCATTTTATAGAAACAAAAGATTCCAGCTGGGGGGGGTTGCAATGGTTTCCCTTGAGGCTCTGATTTCTATTAACAGTCACTAAAAGTTCAGAAGAAAGACATTACAACCTGGGGGGAGGCTGAGCACAGGCAGGGCTGCTCAGCGGGCTTTGACCGGTGCCTGCCAAACTGAAGGGCTGTGACTTCGGTCCCAGTATCCGTTTCACCCCACTGACCACCCCCTCGGCGCTCCCAGGTGTGGGGCCGGGCTGCGCAGCAGCGTGCGGGTCCCACGCCTGCCCCCAGGGCTACTGCAGCAACGGGGGACGCTGCCACCTGGACCCTGCCACTTGCCTGCCTACAGGGGCACTGCCTGGTGGCAGGCGGCGATTTTCAGCCCCCGGCTAGCCCAGGTGGGTGTCTCTGCCCCGCGCCGGGCGGCCTCCGGTGCTGCAGCCCGGCTCACCTGAGCTGTAGGAGGTGAGAGCGACCTCTGTGTCTTTCCCCCTGGCAGATCTGCCCCGGAGGAGCGTGCGGCTGCGGATCCGGACACTGCAAAATGCCACCACTGGGGAAGTCAATGGCACTGTATGTTGTCCAAGGGGGCCAGGCTGTTGCTGTGTCCCTGGGGATCCCCACTGCTAGTGATGTGATGTTGGGGTGCTGCTCTGGAAGGCATTTGGGGGGGGTCTGTCCAACCAGCACCCCCTGCGTTCCCACCAGCAGGGACCCAGCAGCCCCTCAGGCCAGCAGGGAGGTGGCACCAGCCCACAGGGTCCCAGCCAAGTGACGCAGGCTGCACCCGTGGCCGCTCGCCAGGTCCTCCATGCGTGAATGAAAGGCCTCGGGGCTCGGACGTGTCGCCCTTCAGACTCTGCCCCACGCCGGTGCCGTCCTGCCCTCCTCTAATACAGCTTCCGCTCCCCCTCGCGCAGGTCGCGGCCGTCCTGGCATCCCTGGAGGTGAAAGCTTTCCAGAGCAACAGCAACATCACCCTCACGTGAGTGAGCTGGGGATGGGCTCCATGCAGCCCCAGGCTGAGGGAAGCAGACAGGGCGCGAGGTGGCAGAGTTTGCAGGGCAATGGGCAACCCCCCCACCCCCACCCCGGGTCTGTCTTTTCAGCCCCATGGCTGATAAACACCCAGAAGGGGTGTTTATGGGAAAAATGGGGAAACTAGGGCACAGCAAGGCTCAGCTGCGCTGGTGAGGTGGTAGCAGATCTGCCCACAAACTCTGGCTGCCTCTTCCTTTCGCCATAGGGACATCAGTGGTGGCTTCACTTTCACGGTGGTGTCCGAATTTGCCTATGACAGCACCAGCTTCGTGATCCAGTTCCTGAACGAGGAGCTGAGGGAGGCCATCACCAGCGCCTTCAATGGGCTGCCCAAGCGAGGGCGGCGGGCAGTGGGAGCACGCATCGCCTTCGAGCGCCTGCACAGGGACAATGTCACTGACCTGGTGAAGCGTGAGTCTCTCCCGGAGCCATGGCTCCAAAGAGCCAGCTCAGCCTGGGTGCCAAGGAGGAGGACCCAAGAGTCCCCCAGCCCAGGCCACACCACCCTCCATGCCCCAGGGTTCAGATAATGGTGGCACTGACAGATGCGGGTTGGTGGCAGTGCTCCATCCAACACGTGGCTCCTGCTGGGGAACACTCCAAGGGGACACCTCCTGGGGCAATACTGCTCCAAAACCTGGGGATGCTGTCCAAGCCGGGACTGTGTGGTTGAAGCCCTGCACTCTCCATGCCTGCCTCTCTCCCCAGTGACGGTGTATGAGCTGAGGCGCTATTTCCCCTGCGGCCTCTCCGGCTATGAAGGCTACCAGCTGGACTACACAGCCAGTGCCGGCTTCCTCTGCGTGTCCCCTTGCAACATGGGCTACTGCCAGCACGGTGGCCAGTGCCAGCACCTGCCAGATGGGCCCACGTGCAGGTAGCAGCACGAGATGGGGCGGACAGGGGAGGACATGGCCAGTCCTCGCTGCAGTGCGTCAGCCACCTCTCTCCAGAGGCTTCATCTCCCCTCTGTCCCCCTCTGCAGCTGCATCCCCTTCTCCATCTTCTCCCCCACCGGCAAGCAGTGTGACCGGCTCACCGTCAGCCTCGGAGCCTTTGTCGGCATCTTGGTGGGGGCACTGGCTCTGCTGTCCCTCCTGCTCGCTTCCGCCTGCCTGGTGGCACGGCTCTGCCGCCGGCACAAGGACACCGAGGGGTAAGTGGTGCCCCATGCCCTCCCGCAGCAGCTGGGATGCGGCTCGGGACCAGAGCCATGTGGACATGGGTGCTGGTCAAAAGGCTGTCAGGAACTGGGTAGAGCAGGGAGACTGAGTTTGGATGTCAGAAAGAGCATTACCCGCTCCAAAAAAATTGGTGTAAAATTCATCACTGAAGGGCCAAGAGCTGGTTAGACACTTTTTCCCCAGGCAGCGGATAGCGAGATGAGCCTGCCTTGAGTGAGCAGTTGAGCTGGGTGGTCTTCAGCATCTTCCGGTCTCTTTTCCAGTCATCTGCTGCTCAAGGGTCCAGTAACTTCAGCGGGTTGAAAACTACATTCTTTTTTTCCCCATTTCAGAGAATATTTACATTTCTTCCTCAAACCACCCAGACAGAATTTGGTTACAGAATGGATTTCTATTTAATTTTAATTTGAATAAAGTCCAAGTAATTTCCAGTGTAACTCATATTTCCCTGGGAAGAGTTGGTTTGCAGCAAGAAAAGACTGTTGCAGAAGTGGCCCTCACATTTCTGCTCAGAAGGGAGTTAGCAGACGGCCGATGAAGTGCAAGGCTGGGAGGGAAATGCCAGCATCTCCCTTCTTCCTCCCCAGCCGTTGGTCCCAGTCCAGAGGGCTTTTCCATGTTAGCAGGAAGCTCAATGTCCTGAGGCCCTTATGCTGGCCAAGGAGGTGCTAGAGCAGGTCAGAGCAGGATTGGGACCATTCCCTGTGCTTATGTCTGGGCTGTGCTGCATCCTGCACCCACTATGAGCTCCCTCATTGCCCAGGGAGCAGGGATTCACCAAGCCGACCGGGAAGTGCCTCTGTTCATTTGCATTTGTGTCAGACAAGAAATTCTGTGCATCTCCTCTGTTTCCCTCCCCCCAAATCCCTGTCTCCATCCCCTCTCCCCAGCCCCACACCCTCCCGCCCATCTCTGCTCCCCAGTCTGGTCTGACCCTGGCGCCAGCACAATACAGGGGCTCTCCCAACGCTTTCTGACATGTTGTCTTCTTTCTGCTCCCCTTGTTTTAGGGCCAAGGAGTCCTTCTGGAGAGCACGGCCATTCTCCTGTGAGTATGTCCATGCCAAAATGCCCCCTGGCTCTGCTTCGCTCCCTTAAATGTAACTGGCCTCCAGCAGGGCTTCAGCCTCCCAGCTCTGAGTCAAAGCTGGTTTGGGGGAGCATTGGCTGGTGGATCACTCCCCTCCTCACCCACTGAGGCACCCCTCCCACCCCGCTCAGCCTGACCTCGCAGGGCTCCCCCCAGTTCTGCTCGTATTTCTGCTCCAGCTCTCACCAAGGCAGAAGATGGAGCAGAGCCCATCTCCGCCGACGTCTCCAAACGGTGCTGGGTACCGCAGCTCCAAGCCATTGACCCATCAGTTCAGGTCTGCCTGGGGTTTATTTCCCAGCCTCAGCTGGCTGGTTCGGGGGTTTGAGTTTGCCCAGGAGCTGCTGGTGCTGTGCCTCGTCCCAGAGCAGCAGGCGCCTCTGTGCTGCTCTCAGGGGCTGAAATGGCACAGGGAGCCTCACCTCTCTGCATGGCCACGTTTTGACTGGGATGCGCCTTGTACGGCCATCAGTGGACAGGGCTGGTAGTAGGATGAGGACCATGATGAACCAGCCCTCAGAGGGGCTCAGCTTTAAGTCAAAGCCTTATATCCAGTCCCTGCACGTCTGAAGGTCTCTGCAGGTGTTTGCTAGCGCTTGGGTCTGAGCTGTGCTACCACTTGAGCTAGTAGCAAAGGCCAGGCCTGCTGCAAAGCTCTTGCACACAGTCACTCATCTATAGCACTGCTTTGTTATTTACAGATAAGGCTCACGAGACCCCACGTTAGGCCTCCAAGCCAACCAGTTCAACGACAGTAGCGTGCTGCAGGCTCTCCAAGGCAGCCAACCGCTGAGGTTCCTGCTCTGATGCCTCCAGCTGCTTGTGGAGAGCAAGCTGCCTGCTGGTTTGGACAATGTTAGCATCATGGATGCCGCTGCCACGTCATTCTGCTCTTGAGATTTCGAACAACGTTATGTGTGTGGAGCAGGGAACAAGCGTCTGTCTTTTGGGTTCTGGTCACAGGAAGGTCACTTTTGGGGACAGTTTATCTGGGGGTGATGGTTATGCAAGGAAATGCCTTTGCTACAGTTCACTCTGGAGGAGATGCTACTTTTGAATGAAAAATGTATTGTTAGGGTGGATCATCAGAGCGAGAGAACGCCCTCTTCCACTAAAGACAGGCAGGGTAGTCCTTGAATGTGTGAGTAAGGACGTAGTCCCTTGTGAGATGTAACTGGACCCAGCACAGCCCTCTGAGAGCAGTCAGGTGGGACAATGCAGTGATTATAATCCACAACGAACAAAACAATTAAAAAAAATTATGGCATGTTGCTGCGTAAGTTATATGCGCCGTGCAGTGCCTATGCACTAACCCCACTTCCCTTTTCCAAGCTACGGAGCACCTAACAGCAGATTGCACCCACGGCACCGAAGAAAAGATGCTTGTAGTTTCTGGTGCTCCATCCCAATTCTCACCCTGAAGCAGCAGGTCTCACCTCACTGCTTTCCCAAATTGCCACTCGCAGTGGTTCAGATCACAGCCCGAGGAGCCCAGGACCAGGTCCCTGCAAAGGCCCTGTTGCTTTTTGCCCGTATTGAGCAAAGGTGCGTCCTTGGTGCAGGAGGTGTGCCAGGCCCGGGGTGAGAGCCAGCCCCTGCCCCAGTCCTCCTTCCCTCAAGCACAGCAGGGGCAGATCCCAGTTGTGAACATCCCACCCAGCAGCTCTGCTCTCCTAGAAAAGGCAGTGGCACGTCACAACGCCGCTGCTCCGCACCCGCTGACACTCCCCTCCCAGCCCTGGGCACAGGGGAAGACACAGCTGCTATCGGATCAGAGATGCTTATACCCCTCAGACACTTTACTGGACAAGCAGTATTGGACAAGAATTTTTTTTTTTTTTAAAGAAATACAGACGCTCTCTTGTACACAAAAAATGTTTTTCTACCATCCTCTCTGATTGTGGGGGTGAATTTTGTCCTCGCACATCCAGCAGAGACATCAGTCTGACTCTGGCCTGAGCTGGAGAGTTGTTCCTTCTCAGGGGAGCAGGGACCGCTGGACCACCTGGGAGGAACGGCTCGGGGGAGGAATGGGATGCAGGACAGGCAGATATCAGCAGTGCAAAGGACTGTCTCAGGGGGGCACCTGAGGCGCTCAGGGGCTCAGCTGCATTCAACCCACATGAGGGGCAGAAACCCTTTCCCACATGCTGGGGCACAACCAGCCCTCCTATCTTGCCTCTCTCGAGATGCAGGTAAGAGCTGAGAGTCAATTGACATGGCTCAAAAATACCTGCCCACCTCTCCACCAGCAAGGAGGTGCCTGGTTTTCAGAGTAGCCCAACACAACAGATACCCATAAGGCTGCAGCCAGGAGAGGGTGAATAAAGTAACCAATTCCCCATGACAAATCTGGGAAAGAAACGTGAACTTCTACCAGGACACACAACTGCAAGCAGCAGCTGTGTGAGCCCACCCTGCAGAGAGGATGCGGGATGATTGCGGCTACAGTGAAGGGGAGAACAGGGTCACGCAGGTTTCCCGGGCAGAAACAGGAGCAAAGGGCTTGTTGGAGGATCAGCGATGGCACACACCATTGTGAACAAGGAACAGCATGAGCGCTGAGTTACACGGCCTCTCCATCTGCAAGGAGGAAGAAAAGGTAAGTGTTCACTGACTTGAATCGGGTCAGAGCCTCCCACCCCGGCCACGGCCACCTGCTTCTCCCCTGGGCCTGGGATAAGCTGGGCCCTGGGGGCCTTCCACCTGCTGGGGCAGGGGTGGGAGGAAGCAGTCCCGTGCACACTCACCGTGCTCCTCCGAGTAGATGTATGCCTCTTCAGATGACT